TTCAACAATAAGCCATACTTTTGTCTGATACACTGTATCTGGATTTCTAGGTATTTGAAGAGTCCAGCTATATCTGGTTACTCTGAGCAGGCAAATCTCTCAGGGAGATTAGCAACACCTTGTCTCTTAAGTCTATTATACTTAATGCTGCCGTCACCACCAAGGTTTAAGGCCATCTCATTTCTATGACTTGTTAGTCTCTTCTGGTATTTGGTACTGAAAGCGGTAATTTCTTGTCTGACTGTGTTAATCTTTATATCATTGTATATATATCTATTTGCAATATATTGTGGAATATTTAGTATTGCCCTCAGAGTTTTAGTTTGAAATCTTTCGAGTATGTCAATATTGCTATTGCTTGCTGTTCCCCACAAGTCCTGATGGTAAGCAATCGGCGTCGCCGTCGCCCATGGTCACCCGGGACACCAAAGGCGTTCCAAGTGCGTTACCGGCCTTTTGGGGATTAGCAATTTGAGGATTGTTGAGGATCCAGGGATTAGGGAGATTGTGGAGGGGTGAATGGGTGAAAAATGGGCGTAAAGAAAAGAATAAGTATGGCAGATTAGATACAATTTGCAAACAATGAATTCCAAAAAATCTTTTATCTTATTATCATATCAGTTCAAACAAGGATTAGAAGGCTAGTTAATGTTTATAGATAATTATCATAGAAATACGTCGTAAATGTAAAAAGCCAAGCCTCATTGTTTAATATTTACCTAAGGACAAATATTTATGAACGTCGTCCGCTAAATGGAAGCTACTTATGATTCAAAACTAAATCAATGTCAAATTAATTCAATTGGTAGCGACTCTCGCGGTCTTTGGGATTTAATTTTAGCCTCAAAGTCTCCAGTTCCTATTGTTCCTTCCTCCAATCACTATTATTAGAGATCAAAATTCGATTGTCTAGTTCAATATTTCCTGGTGAAAACACGCTGTTTCGAATTGGAAGCAAGAGAAGAACTAGCGGAAAGATGAATAGATTGTGTGAGGAAATTGAGACTGTGGAAAAACTAAAGAAAAGATTACGAACAGATTGTGTGCGGAATTATAGTTTTTTACTTAGACGTCTGGATAAAGTGTCAATAAAAATAGAAGACATATTTTGCCGACACCAGGTAATTTGGTATTAGGGCAGTAAGAATACGAAATACAGCAGAAAGTTAAAACTGAAGCACTTTCTGTTACAAGGACCTCATTTTTTTACTGGGTTAAGCAGATAAACGAGTAGACGGATCACCTGATGGTAAGCACGCCGCCGCCCATGAATACCTGAAACACCAGAGGCGTTACCAGCCTTTTGGGAATTAGGAATTTAAGGATTATGGAGGATTCGGGGATTGGCGACACTGGAAATGGGTAATTGGGTACCGGTAACCTCACTCATACGACGAAACACAACGCAAGCTGTCGTTTCGGTCGAGCCGATCCATGCGTGCCGAAGCATGGCTTTCCAACACTTGACTCATAACATAACGTTTACATAAAAAACCACAACTCGCGTAAGTAATACATTTTATTTATTTTGTCACAAACATGACAATGGGCGAGTACATGAAATTACCTACATGAAATTGTCTACGTGCAGGACCAGCGTTATCAGATGACATCGGCAAAGCATACATCGTTAAACCCAGCCTGGAATGTCACTGATTACAATCAAGGTCGAGATAGTAATTAATCATCAGTATTGATGGTGTCCAATTAGTTACATCGTTGAGTTTATCTCAAGTACATGATAATGAAATTGGGTGATGGATTTTAAGAGAACATTTTTGTTAGCAACATTCGGTGTTGCTAGGGAAGTGGGGATGGTTGAACTGAACTGAACTGCACGGTTGGGTGACCAGTTGCTGTCGCGGGTTCGATTTCTGCGCCGGGCAAAAAGTGATAATGGAATTTTCTGAGTAAGATGACCATTATTAGCCCAGAGTTACGAAATTCGGCGGTGTTTCACCCCATGTCTCGGATAGCACATAAAGCCGTTTGTCCTACGCCTGACCCCACTCCGGTTGTGTCGGCCTGCCGTCCCATCGGGTTCAAAGAGTGAGGGGACAGAGAGTGCACCTGTGTTTGCGCACACTCTCGTACACTATAATATCTTACATAGTGGGCTAATCTAGTTGTACAGACTGGCCACCATGATCGAAATCGATCGGGAGATTTTTATTTATGGGGATAGTTAGAAGAATATTATTATCTAGGGTCTTCAGTACCTTTGAGTAAATGACGTCTGTTGTAACCTCCTCTACCAATTACACAATTCTGACCTCTATGTATTAGTCTTACATTTAAAACCAGTGAAGGTTTAGCACAAATTCTAAGCTGAATTTGGCATCTTTTTCGCTGAATCTAGGTATTGAAAATCGCCTGATATTTCAATGAACCAGTAACGTTAGAGTTTTACATTTTGTTTACGTTTCAATTAAAATCATTTGTCGATCACAGCATTTCATAAGTAACAAAATGTTCTACAAAAATCGCTTACCTAACGTCTATTAGTTACTACCTAGATTAGATTTCACTAGAACCGCCACTTTGACTATGAAAGTAGGTACTACGTATTGAATAATTATTATTTTAACTCCGTATGCAACTCATATGCAGGGTTCAACGTCCGTATCGCGTGAATATACAGGGAGGTACCATCGGCGACGTAATTGCGACTTATTTATAAGTGAGTTGATTTAATGAATTACTTTCCACTTTCAGATCACAAAGAGCTTCGTGAAAGTAGTTTTTAACAATAGCAACATTGACATGCGTACGTAACGAGGCGACATTGCAGGAAGTATTAGGTGTTGCTATAATAAAAAAATTGCATGGAATTTCCCGCCTAATCATTGGGTAAACTGTTACGTGTGTTACCACATTTTTAAGTGTTTGTGTGGAATTTAATGTTGCTATGTTACATGTATGTCGTATGTTTTGGTACGGTTGGTATTTAATGAGATAAAGCTCAATTATCTAAAGAAGAAAGTGAGGAATTTTAATTTTGTGGAACGGAAAAGTCAAAAATGAATAAAATATGAGGTTGGTTATAAATCTCGATTATAAATTGATTTGGAAAAACACTACTAGTGCATGATAAAGTCATTCGATGATTTTCACCCCTTAAAAAAAATAGGTACATTCCTACTAATAGAGAAGACTGAAACACATTATTGCATTGTACCAATCTCAAACAATTTGAAACAAGAGCAAAATCTTCTTGGTGTGTTTATCAAGTGCCTACTTACGTAAAAAACGGCCTCTCATTCAATCATGAAATACAACCTACTGATATAGGTCAAACAGTAGGGACGGGTAGCGGAGTCTTAAAAATAAAGTGCTGTTTTTGCCATTAGGCACTAAACCTTTAAAAAGATGATTTCACTGGTTACACAAAATGTAATCTGATAAAAAAAGAGTTACCTAAATATGGAGTTTCTTTGGAAAAAGCAACTAGCTTAATTTTAATTTTTTTTATTGACGTTCAAACGTGCCTTCCTGGTCTAATTGAAATAAATGATTTTGACTTTGGCTTTGAATCATAATATAAACTCTTACTTAAACAAAAAAGTACAGTTTTTTGTATCATAAGAGCAACGCAGGTATTTTTAAATTTTGCCACATTATCAAGGGCGAGTTATTTTATCGTAATGTTTATTGTATTCTATCAAATCATTGTTATTTGTTATAGATTACCTAAGTAACGCGGCTTACTAATTATTTTCCTCAAGACGTTCAAACTACAGTGATAAAGTTATCTTCGATGATGACTAATTATGTGGCGCTTAAAATAAAGTGAGTATCTTAAGAAAACAAATAAAAAATCAACATAGCAGATTTACCGAGGGAAAGATAAAATTCTAAGGTTGTTTTTAAGGTAAATATTCTGTTTAAGACTTTGAGCCTGAAATACAATGAAAACCTATCTATGCCTAATTTACAGGTAGGTTAATTAAGACTTTAATCTGGATTTGAAACAAGTTTCTTTCAAACAAAAAGCCTGTGGATAACCACAGGGTTATTTGTTTAAAATTAATAATTATATTTTGTGCAAAATAAAAGAATCTCTTACCGCAGCACTAGTCTGAGGTAGTATACTCCTCTGAAGTTTCTGCACCGGGTACGTCTGTCTCCATCCGAACAGTCGCACCAGTTTGTCGGCCACATCCTCGCACCGAGGAGTCGACTCCTTCATTGTCACCACTAACCACTCAACTAACACTTGCAACTCATACAATCATTGTTTTTATCGTAACTGTTGTACACCAAAACAAAAACACAGAATACTCAATCAGAAAAACTCTACAACAAAAGAATTACACAATGATTTGAATAGTGAGAACTGATTCGTGATATTGGGAAGAAAAAATAAACAAATTTCATTTTAAACCTCCACAGACGTACGTGGACACAAGTCACAACAACACGACCGACAACCTTGTAGCTAGACGCGCAAAAAGTGTTGAAAAAATTCTGTAGTGAGGCGACCGAGCCGCTGAGCCGCTGAGCCGGCACCGCTCGACACTGCGACGCGCTCTCCTCGGCCTCCGGCCGTTATCGCAACCATCGTTATCTGACTATCACCGCCCCTCCAAACTACTGCACCTTCACTACCTCACTCCCAGACACACAATGCCTGCTGTATCTATGATCAAACGCGCGGAAATCTTCGCATGGCTTTTGAAGTGCGGATGTCTCTGTTACAGCTTCGACCACTAGCAATACTATACTTCCACCTACTATACTTACATACCTTCTAGTGGGTAGACTATATTTTCAATTTCTACCCACCAATAGGCCCATCTTCGATAACTTACACAACATAGCCAAAACTTGTACGTTAAATAGGCCCAAATTCGTCAAGTTGTTTGAACATTAATATTTCTAAAACGTGTATCTCACGAACGGAAAGTGAAATCTCATTTTCAATTATCGATGAATTAGATATATCATGTTTATGTTCTAGCACTTGTTATACGACTGCTACATGACTAGGTATTTCACATTTACAAGTAATCGAGTCAATAAATTGGATATAATGATGGTTTTGTAAGTTAGAACGAAGCTTTGATTAGCCTCGCCGTAATATCCGCAAACAACGGGGACTGAATTGCTCTTCCAATTTACTTTTGATGTCACCGGTTGCGAAATGGTCGCCGCGATAATATTCGGTTAGTTAAACCTAATCCAACTCAAACAAGTTGCAATGTAATAGTTACTGCTTAGCTCGGCATTTAAATTGCGTTATAATCTGTTTAACATTTTAGAAATGCTAATGCCGCCAATCTACGTGCCCATTATTTAATTTCAAAGCAACGCAATGATGCATAAACGTATATTTTCATGAAATAACGCAAAAACTCCAGGAGAGTTCTAACTAAAGGCCTGCAGACTCGCAACATGCAGGAATAATTACCACATAGTGAACATTAGCGCATAGCTCGCAAATCGTTGACTCCGCCAGTTTGCATGCCTTTGTCACGCGGTTTTGAAACTTTACGAGGGGACTAACATTTTCTCTCTAGGCATGTTAGGGGAAACAAAGCGAGCCGAGGAAGAGAAAACCCCATAAACGTTAATGCCAGAACATATTATTATGTTACATGCTTGCGTTTGACAACGGAGCCCTGAATACAGAACACAGTGTAACTTATTATCATAGTGTTAGATCGAGTGAATACAATCAGACGAACAATTGACGATTAACTACAAGACTTCACCATTCAGCGAGCGACCCATTGTCAACGCTTGCGCAGTGCTTAACGAAATTACGTGGGACCTCATTTGTTTCAAGTTACGATAAGATGAGCATTTCTGAACGCATAATTACTATAATGTAACGCTTAATTAGTCTGCAGATAATGAGATGCCTAAAGGTCTTAACCTATTTATGCAACACGCGATGTATGCAATCGTACTGTTTTGTTCTGTTAAAAATGTTATGAAGAAAAAGTTTGTCAAAATGGTGCCACAGAAGGAGGCAGAATGAATGTATAAATATGTACATTTATTTGATAAGCAAGTTTGTAAGAGTGTCGCGAAGTGTCTCGGCGCTTTCTACCGACATCTGGGTGTCTAGATCGGCGCCGGAGTAACTATTATGTTACCCGATCACTCTTCAACAACAATGGCAATTCAATACCGTGGCAATGATACTGATTAGTAACAGTAATCGCGTCGTGTCGGGTTATGAGAAATTTACAATAACAGCTCATTTTCTTTGGCTTATTGAACTAACCGTCTGTAAAGTGTGTCAACCAATGCCGTTGCGGTAACGTATTCCAAATAAATAATCGCTGATATCTTTGCAACAGCGAAATCTTTGCCGACGTCTACGTTTGAGTAAATATTACGAACTGTTTTTATTGCAAGTACTTCTTTAAATAATATTCAATTTGAAACCTCATACGTTGAGTCAGGTTCTTAGCACTCGCGGCCATGGTTCAACGGTCACGCTATGCTTCATGTGCTGCCGACCAATCACAATGCCTTGATTATGACCATGTACATAGGTGCAACGATCCTTGTATCAGAAACCTGAACATTTAATTGTTCGAGTGCAGTTTTAGGTATTGATGAATCTAGACTAGCAATCACGCAGTTTGCTAATGAAGTTCCAAGACCAAACACTATTGAAAAAAATTACAATAAAAAATACATCATCACAAGATGTTTTCATTTAACAGCTAGATAGCAGAGACTACTGAAATCCTATTACTTAAAAAAATAAATTTCGGAACTCGGACAAACAGTAAACGGAAATAGGAAGTTAAAACATGGACCATCCACCATTTCATTGTCTGCCACAGTGTTATCACAGGAACCAGCTGTGCAACTTTTGTGCAAATGCAAAATATCCGTCTGGCAAAAGCGTACAGTGCCACAATGCCTGCAACCTACAATGGGAGCGTTGGTCACACAACAGCTACGTTTGCGTTTGTAATCTGTCTCACTTTCAGATAAATGTTCACAGCAATTTCACTTGCACCACAATATATTTTGGAATTCGGAAGTTTTAGTGAGTTAGCGAAGGGGTAAACGTCACATTATTATCGATGTAAACAAGCTGGAGGCTGCGCGGCGGGCAACTGGCTCGGCTTTCTGCGCGTGCGCCGGTCGGCGGCTCCGCGGCGCGGGGAGGAGGGCCAGCAGGTCACCGCTCCCCCTGCCCCTGCAGGCCGAGCCATTGAGAGGTGCTCGCACGCCGCAAACCGTGTAAACAATCCTCCCACCTGTGCAATTACAAACAAATGGCACCGAATCGTCTAATACCATTCGTGTGTACGATGCCCAACTAAAATCATTTCAATTAGTCCATGACTGTCCCTGATTACATGTGGGGGTCCTACAAAATTGTGGACTAATTTCGACAGTTAACGAACTAGAGATCCTTCCTCCCGGATGTTAGTAGCCTGGAGTTAAAGTAAGGGCACTTTCTCGGTGCACCTCCCCTGTGACGAGACAGGGGTCAGTGGTGCGCAGCGCGTGGCGAAGCGCGACGGACGCGCGGGCGCACCGAGCGGAACGGCGGCGTGGGGTGCCAACCGTCGCACCACCTCCACTCGCCAAGGTCAAGCCGAAAGAACATAACACTTTCATAAATGGTACAAACTACTTAGAGACGATTATTTATGATCCTAAATTAAAACAACAATTTTGACATTTTACTTTACCAACACAATTAGGTTTTACATTTAGGAATTTCAATTAATTTCGTGTTTATATAAATATAACCATATTTACAATAAATAAGTGCTGTTATATTTATTTTTTATGTTAAATATGTGCTTGCAGTTCACAAGTAGCAGCGATTACTTAAATCATCATGGTAACGCCATCTATACAACATATGACGAACTACCAAGTGTAACCTTATCATGTCTTGTAATTATGTGCCCATCAAATAAAGTAAATAAATACACTTGAAAATGTTTAACTTATTATTTGTGTAGACTCTTGTATCAACATTTAATTTAGAGAATGTCATAAATTGCATAGCCTAGTTTTGTATCTTGACAACAGATGGCACTGTCTGTCACAGACTGCCTGGATCAACAAAAATAAACTTTTTGAATTGAAAAAGGTATAAAAACTATAGATGTTAGAATTATTTACTATGTATTTGGTCAATAGTCATTTTCTTGAAAACAGACGAGACATTGGACAATAACTAAAAGAAGAAATAAATTGGTTCCTACTATTATATTATCAAGGATTGGACTAATAAAACCAATTTTATTAATATTGGCGGACAATTGCGTCCAATAACTATTTGATGACATCCCAAGTATCAGACAGTAATGTTGATGAATGCAACGAGGAAAACTGAGTTACATTTATTCAGTTATAAAGTATTAGAAACCCGATAAATGCTTGCGTGGCCCTATCAGTTATCGGGAATCAGTACCTAGCCAAGCCCTTTACTGGATTACAGAGGTAATATAATATATTATGTAGACTGTATTTATGTGTGGTAGTCTCATAGAGTACTTAATAGTAACTTGTAGCTGCTAAACCAGTATGCAGTTTGAGGTTTAACCTTTGAAACAGGTCAAAGTTGTGGACTTAGAAAGATTTATTATAGAACTAGCTGTGCCCGCGACTTCGTTCGCATAGAATAGTGACTATGAGCAGCGTTTTTTTTTTAAATATATACTTATTTTTATTTTAGATTTGGATCATAATCACAGTCATTTTGGGTAGCTAAAAAACCTACTTTACTGTAATGCTTCTCTATATACAATATTAGACGTATGGCCATCGGGGGTGAAAGCATACAGGCTGCTGGGATTGCTAACACGGGACAGAGCCACATACAATTGACCGTGCGAAAAACAGCTGATACTTAGATCTATACCCACAACTTTTAGAGTCTGACCTTGAGCTTTATTAATTGTCATGGCGAAACATAGGCTCACTGGAAACTGAATTCGTTTAAAATTAAACGGAAAATTTTTTGGAATGAGAGGAATCTGAGGAATAAAACCACTATCACCTTTTCCGCACCCTGTTAAATATATATATATTTATAAGCCATTTCTGAGATTAGCGTGAACAGACAAACAGACAAACAGACAAAAAAAAAGTTAGTTACATTTTTGGGTTCGACATCGACATAACAATAGCCCCTGCTATTTTTTTTATTTTTATTTTCAATGTACAGACAGCACTTTTCTACAATTTTATTATATGTATAGATAGATAGATAGATAGATAGTGTTCGACGTGATTCTTTAATTTGACGTAACTTTTTTATTTATGAACCGATTGACATGAAACAAACACTAAAGCATAACTGAAGCATACCACAATATATTCGTGAAAACCGCATCCAACTCGGATAAGCCGTTTCTGAGATTAGCGTGAACAGACAAACAGACAAAAAAAAAGTTAGTTACATTTTTGGGTTCGACATCGACATAACAATAGCCCCTGCTATTTTTTTTATTTTTATTTTCAATGTACAGACAGCACTTTTCTACAATTTTATTATATGTATATAGATAGACTATTGACTGTTTTCAAAAACTGCTGAAGGCAAATCCTCCGCTAACGTGGGTCACCGGTGACCTACGCGGCAGTTAACGTGTTAAACCATCTCGTAACTAAGAGTTA